TTACTCATACTTTAAGTTGATTCTGGTCTCGAAACTTTTGGGATAGAAATGTTATGAAACAAATATGTGGTGAAGTGTCTAAAATTTATTATTATATATTGTAAAATATAAATTTGAACTTAGTGTAATTGGGGATCAGACACAAATATGTATTAATTTGATCTATAGATTTTAAATTATAAACAAATTTTTAAAAATATTTTTTCTAAGTAACAATATTTGGATTGCTTGTGGCGTGTTGCAAGTTTCAACCCCTAAAATAATTTTTAAAATTTTAAATATATATTTTTAATATTTATTTTTGTCAAATTAATTTCTATTTTTCTAAACTTTACAAAAATAAAACCAAATATTACCAAATTCTTGGAACATAGCGATATTTGTAAAATGCCTCCATTGAGAGCTGTGAATCTGTGATGCTGAAACTTCTGAGTACTAGTAGTAGTACTCTGTTGAATGCATTCAATTAAGCTGCATGACTTGGGTACTTTTATTTATTAAAGTAGGTTCCACCATGGAGATGATAACCTCTCCATTCCTCCGTTTGGGAAGTGTGTTGGTTTTTTAACTTTTTAAATTTTTTAGTTATTTTAGTTTGGGTTAAAAAGTATAGTTTGGGAAGAATTTTTTAGTTTTTTGGCTTTTTTGACTTTTTTTGTGAGAGAATAGTGTAATGATTATGAGTTGGATGTGATGTTTTGTTTGTTGTGACTAAAATAGCCTATTTTGTTTTTTGTGGCTATTTTAGCCCCAACCTTACTTGCCAAACGGACCCTATAAAGTTTTTAGGATTTTTTTTTTTTAATTTAAAAAATTAGTTTGGTAAAAAAAAAATATTCATTATTTTTATTTGATTTTTAAATTTATTTTTTAGTGTATAAATAATTTTATTTTTTCTATGTGTGTGTGTGTGTTTTTTTTTTTCTGTGAAACTAATGTCTAACTTCTTTAAAAAAAAATTAGAAAACAAATATTGAAAAATCAACCAAACAAATATATATATGTATATATATATTTTATATCAAAATTCAGGCATTTTTAGACGTTATGATTAAAGGCAAATAATTTGACATTAATATGTAAACATTTCTTAGTTTAATTGATTTCAAAACAAATCAACTATTAATAAATAAACAATTCGAGTCATTAAAAATAAATTTAAGAATCATATTAAACAGGTCTTAAACATGCTTCATCATCAAACAAAACTCAACCTCCCTTAAAATCCTCTGCCCAGAGCTATGGCCTAACTTGACATAATTTTAATAGATAATTACCAATAAGTCTTATATACTTTATTTACTTACTCATAAATCTAAAGTGAATTTTTTTTTTTAAACTTATTTGTCCCTCTGATTTCAAAACAAATCAACAATTAATAAATAAACAATTCGAGTCATTAAAAATAAATTTAAGAATCATATTAAACAGGACTTAAACATGCTTCATCATCAAACAAAACTCAACCTCCCTTAAAATCCTCTACCCAGAGCTTTGGCCTAACTTGACATAATTTTAATAGATAATTACCAATAAGTCTTATATACTTTATTTACTTACTCATAAATCTAAAGTGAATTTTTTTTTTTAAACTTATTTGTCCCTCATTTCGAAAAATGAGAATTTTTTTAATACGTTTTAGATATATGTTTTGTGTTTGTAGAATAATCATTTGGTACTGATAATTATACTAGAATATTTACCAAAGTAATACATAATTAAGACATTTTAGTTTTTTTTTAAAAGATTTGTAAGACATTTTAGTTTTTGTTGTGAGTTTTTATTTATTTTAAGTTTATTTGTGTTAGTTTGGATTGAAATATGACATATGAAGTGTAAGTTATTTATCATTAAAAGTTAAAGCATGAGTTATTAATAAACAAGAAAACCGTCACGCCCTCAATTTTAATCCAAAACCTATAAAACCATTATCATTTGAAAAAAAAATCTAGCACATTCACTTGAAATTAATTCATTTTTTCTCCCAAAACTCTTCACGAAATTATTATCAATTTACTAAGATTTTTTTTTTTCTCGTAACAAGTTAAGTTGGCGTAAAAACTTATTATTTATCCATTTTAAAATATAACTTCAAATATTTGTGTGTGTATTTTATTTTAAAATATTTAAATAAATAAATATATATGTATTATACACACAAATAAATAATTTTCATAAAATAAAATAAAATAATAATCCGGCCAGCGTAGCTTGAAGGACTATTTGCAAGTGACAATCCAAATTTGGGCCCAATGTGGCCCTATTAATTAAAATAAAAATCTGAAGTCCTGAAAATGCGGATTAAGATGAACAGGCTGGACCAGCCTATGCCACCTTAAAGTGGGCTCCAAGGTGTTTTGGGTCCAGTTAGAGATTAGGTTGGACAAATGAGTGGGCCCGTTTAATAAACAATCCAAATTTGGGCCCAATGTGGCCCTATTAATTAAAATAAAAATCTGAAGTCCTGAAAATGCGGATTAAGATGAACAGGCTGGACCAGCCTATGCCACCTCAAAGTGGGCTCCAAGGTGTTTTGGGTCCAGTTAGAGATTAGGTTGGACAAATGAATCCTTGTTTGGCCTTCAACAAAATGTTTCGGGCCCATTATATATAAATACCTCGTCGTTTTTTCCTATATATACAGGATTGATAAAGTTTTTTCTTGATAAGCAAGATACAAGATTCGAAACAGACCCAGTTCACAAGTCTCTCTAGAATCACAGCAAATCATGGGTCAGGGAACACCCGGCGGTTTGAACCGGCAAGGCCTCGGCGGCGACCGGAAGAACGAGGGGGATAAGAAGGAGAAGAAATTCGAACCGGCGGCTCCGCCGGCCCGAGTCGGCCGGAAGCAGCGGAAGCAGAAGGGGCCCGAGGCCGCCGCCCGGCTTCCGACGGTGACGCCGCTGACGAAGTGCAAGCTGAGGCTGTTGAAGCTGGAGCGAATCAAGGATTATCTTTTGATGGAAGAAGAGTTCGTGACCAATCAAGAGAGATTGAAGCCCCAAGAGGAGAAGACTGAGGAGGATCGATCTAAGGTCGACGATCTGCGAGGCTCGCCGATGAGCGTTGGCAATCTCGAGGAGCTGATCGATGAGAATCACGCCATCGTGTCGTCGTCGGTGGGGCCGGAGTACTATGTCGGGATTTTGTCGTTCGTTGACAAGGATCAGCTCGAGCCTGGTTGCGCGATTTTGATGCATAATAAGGTACTGTTCTTGTTGTTTGATTGTGATTTTTATTGAAATTAGGGTTTTGAATGATCGAGCTAGGGTTAGGGTTTGATTATGATTTTATTGGTAATTTTGGGGTTTGAATGATCGAGCTAGGGTTAGGGTTTGTTATTAGAATGTTCATTTCTTAAAAATTCGAGAACTTAGGGTTCGAGATCTGAAATTGTGTGCCTTTTTATTTGTTTATTGGTATGGCAAAGTAAGAGTTCGTGGTTTGATTCATTGGATTCGTGCAAAGGTATGGCAAAGCAAGAGTTCGTGGTTTGATTTATTGGTGTGCATTTTAGTTTCACGTACAGAACCTGTGTGCATCATAACATATTACTTTTTTTGCTGGTAGTCTAAAGAAAACTACACTTGTTACTAGATATAACACAATAAAAATGTGTGTTTTGTGTAGTTGACTCCAAAGTACTGTATCTCAGGTTTCATGTACTACAGTTTTTTGCTTTTCATTCTATGTACCAAAACAATTTGCATTCTAAGTAACATCGGTGAGAATTTAGATTTTCATTACTAAACTGTACTGTTGAAACCAAAAACATGGAATGCAAAGAAACATGTGTATGCTTAGGACTAGGAGATTGTAACTGCTATAGGTTTAATAAAATTGGTTGTGGCTCTATTAGGCCCCAAATCCCCACAAGATTTGGGTAACATTCAGACTCGGTGTTTGGAGAGCGTGAGTTCGGATTTTGATCCCCATGTTTAATTTCATTCTTTGTAAGAATGGCAATTTTGTAATGCAGAAATTGATCAAGTCTCTAAACCATTTTTTACCTCAATATTATCAGGATTCCAATTTTTGTTGTTGTTGTTGTCCTTGTTGATGATTTTCTAATTGATAGCTTCCTTTAAGTACCGATTGCCAAATAAAAAGAAAAAAAAAACCCAAACGATCAGTTGTTTGATGGTTTGAAACTCGTAAACTGAACCTGCAACTTGCTGTTTGAATGTTTCTTCAATAATTAATCATAGAGAAATATCCATTTTTGCTTGAAGTAGATTTGAAATTGACAAAAACTATGGGAAAAGAATTTAATGTTTTTGTATTTTTAATGCTCTTTCTTAGGTTCTTTCTGTTGTTGGGCTTCTTCAAGATGAAGTCGATCCCATGGTGTCTGTCATGAAGGTTGAAAAGGCTCCTTTGGAATCGTATGCTGATATAGGTGGGTTGGATGCTCAGATACAGGAAATCAAAGAAGCAGTTGAACTCCCTCTGACACACCCTGAACTATATGAGGACATTGGTATCAAGCCTCCCAAGGGAGTCATACTTTATGGAGAGCCAGGAACAGGCAAGACCTTACTTGCAAAGGTGTGTACATTTTCTGTTGGATTGCTGCTTCTCCAAATATTTTTTTTCTCCCCATCTTCTCTTATGTGCAAGAAGGCCAAGAATCTCAGTGATGAAATGTAAGTATACTTTGCTCATGTTGTTTGCAGTCATTGGCTGAAATATAAAACTTGTGCATATCAATTTAAAACCATTTATTTCCATGGAAGTCGATTTACACTGTGTTTTTAAAGGCTCAAGGCGCACTAAGGCGCCGAAGGTCTCTTGGAGCCTAGATGCAAGGCGCAAGGCGAGGCGCTGGCTTTTTTGAAGTAAGGCGCACAGTATTCGTAAAAAATAGAAAAATTAATATAGACTAATCATTCATAATACTAAGACAATTTTTTAAAAAATAAAAAGTAATCAAGATTCAAGACAAAATATAGAATAATTCTCAAAGCCATGAAAGTGCATATTACATAACATTTCAATTTTCAAAGATCAAATAATCCACATTCAATAAAATAAAAACATAAACACTAAACATCCAAAACATAAATATCCAACAAATACTAATATATGTCTTAACACTTAAAAACATCAATATCAAAAGAAAGGGTAGGTTAGGTCGGTGTCAGTCAATCATCATCCTCAACATCAATGGCAAGCAAACTATCATCTTCTTCTCCATCAGTTGATTTGTATCCCTCAACATCTTTCTCCTCTGTGTCATCTGAGCCCGCTTCCTCTTAATCTATTAATTGAAGTGGAGTCAATGTTGATGATTTAGATATCCTTGGTTGTGCCTTTGAGCGTGAAGTTGTTGCTCTACTTGCATGGCTACTTTCTTCTACTCCAGAAGCTCTAGCAACAGTGGCCCACGTCAAGCCATCATCATCATCAAACACAGGCTCATTATCTTCATCTGATTCTCCATCCATCCTCCCAAGCAACCACTCATTGCTTTCATCAATATTTTGCAAAGATATGAGATCAAGAGTGTTGCGCATGTCATACCTAAATCTCAATGTTCTATTGTATTTGACATACACTAAATCATTGAGACGTTGTTGTTCCAATATATTTCTTTTCTTGCTATGAAGCTGCAAGTATTAAAAAGATATTAAATTCTATATAATGAGAATAAAAAATATTTGAATTGAACAAAAAATTAGTTAGAATGTTAAATACTCACATGTTCGAATACACTCCAATTTCGTTCACAACCCGATGAACTACATGTTAGGCTAAGGACTTTTATAGCAAAAGTTTGTAAGTTTGGAGTATAAGAACCATATGATGCCCACCAATCAGCTGCGATAATTCACTAGTTAGAAATAATTGTTACCAAGTATTAAGTTTTACTAAAAGTATTACTAAAAATAAACTCTATGAGTTTATAATATATTACCTGGTGCTCTTGTATTTCTTTGCCTAATCGCAACAGCCTTGCCAAAAAGACTCTCAGCCTTCATATAAATACTCATCTCATTAGTGATCAAATCTTAAACAGTGACATCCGGGACCAACCTTTGCATGCATTCATAAAACCCATTCATCACTTCATGATCTCTTTGCACCTCTAACGCTTTTGGGTAAAAGAATTCTGGGTTAAGAAAATGCGCAGCTGCATGTAAAGGTCGATGCAATTGAACATCCCATCTTTTGTCAATGATTTCGAAAATTTCATTATACTTCTCTTCTTTATGATCAAATGAACTTGCAATGCATTCTTTTGCCCTATCCATTGCCTCATAAATGTATCCCATGGGAGGTTTCTTCTCGGTATCAACCAATCTAAGCACTTTGACAAGAGGACCCGAGACCTTAAGGGCAAACACAACAGTATTCCAAAATGAAGGCATCAACAAAGTTTGTGCCATTCTTTTACCTTGTGGCTCCTTTGCCCATTTGCTTGAGGTCCAGTCTTCGGAGGTGACCATCTTTCTCAAATTGTTTTTTTGTTGATGCATCCTAGACAAAGTCAAAAAAGCGGTTGCAAATCTAGTTTTTGCAGGCTTGATCAAATTCTTCAAATTTGTATAGCGCCTCATCATGTTTAGCAACGTAGGCCGATTGTAAATGTAGCCATGTACTGCAATACCCCTTTCAAATGTCTTTTTCAGTCTAGGTATCTTGAAAATGTCTTCTAACATCAAGTCCAAACAATGAGCAGCACATGGTGTCCAATACAAGTGTTCATACTTAGCTTCCAAAAACCTCCCTATAATGTAACAATAATGAAGAATTATTATTTTCAAGTTTTTAAATTTTAAATACAAAACAAACTATGAGTAAACAATTTTGATGTAAGGAATGAGGAAATATTCTTACCCGCCAACACATTAGCTGCAGCACTATCAGTGATAACTTGCACCACATTCTCTTTTCCAACTTTCTCCACAAACTTGTCTAGTAATTCAAATAGCTTTTGCCCATCCTTTGAATAGCTAGAAGCATCAACCGACTCAACAAACATGGTTCCTCTTGGACAATTAACTAAAAAGTTAATCAATGTCCTTCCTCTCTTATCAGTCCAACCATCTGCCATTATGGAACACCCGTATTTTGCACAATCCTCTTTATGATACTTCATCAAATCTTCAGTATGTTTCACTTCTTTTTTGAGTTGGGTAACCCGCACTTCATGGTAAGTCGGTGGCTTCATACCAGAACCATATTGGCCAATGGCTTCAATCATTGGTCCAAAACTCTCATAATTTACTGCATTAAAAGGGATACCAGCATCATACATCCACCTTGCAAATCTTTGCAGTGCCCGAGCTCTCATTTCTTTTTTGTAAGGGTCATTTGCTTCAATTTTGATTTGCTTCCTTTTTGCTTGGTCTTTTCGATTTTCACCACTGATTCAGGATTGGGTGTGAAGTAAACATCCATAGGCCCTTTTTTCTTTGGCATTTTTGATTTTGATTTGGGTTTGGATTTGGATGTGGATGAACCTTGGCTACTACTTGTCAACTTGCGGTGTTGATTGACATTGATCTCAACGACATCTTCATCTTCCATGTCCATGTCATCAAAATCAGGCAACATGTTCATTTCTTCTTTTTGTGTCTTTTTTTTTGACATGAACTCTCTAATCTCCTCTCTTACATGAGAAGGACACTTTGGGCAAGCAGTGACATTCCTATAACCTCCTGCAAGGTGTTGTTTCACCCGATAAACACCTCCATTTGATACTTTACCACAAAAATTACATTCAAACTTGTTTATATTATTCTCCTCCACCAAATGGGCATATTGCCGCGCCGGATCTTTTCTATTACTTTCCAATGTCATTTTCTACTTAGTACTTACTACACAACACAAAAAATACATAACAAAAAAATAATTTCAGTATAATGAATGTAATGCATGTTATGTGATGAATTAATTAATGTATGTAATGTATGAATCAATTTTCTATTTTTTTAATTAATTAATTAATGTACATTACATTCCATTACACTAATTCCTATGTTACATTCAATTTTCTTGTAATGTATGTAATGTATGAATTAATTAATGTTATGAATCAATTTTCTATTTTTTTAATTAAAGGTGAATTAATTAATTTCAGTATAATGATGAATCAATTTCAGTATAATCATAACGAATGTAATATATCTATTTTTTTATTTATGTATGTATGTATGAATTAATTAATTTATTTATTTATTTGTTTATGTAATAATCAGGGTTATGAAAGTCAAATAATTGAAAAAAAAAATTATTTATTTATTTATCATAATCAATTAATTAATTTATTTATTTATGAATTAATTAATTTATCATAATTTATCATAATCAATTAATTAATTTATTTATGAATTAATTAATTTAATTTATTTATTTATTTATTTATTTATCATAATCGATTTTAGGCTTCCTATTTTTTTTCAGACTCAACTCAAATAATTGAAAAAAAAATAAAAATAAATAAATAAATAAAAGCAAAACAAATCAGTCGAAGGCAAAAAGGAAGTCGATCGAAGACGAAGAAGAAGGGGAAGGGGAGAAAGTCGAACCTGCGAAGCCGATCAAAGTCGATCGAAGTTGAAACCTGCGAAGTCGATCGAAGTCGAACCTGCGAGTCGAACCTGCGAATCGAACCTGCGAAGTCGATCGAAGTCGTAGTCGCAGAGGAGAAGGAAGAGACGACTTCTTTTTTTGAACACAGGAAGAGACGACTTCGATTAGGGTTATCTGAGTCCTATTTGGCTCATATGGTTCATGAGTCGTAATCCTCTGTGATTACGAGGCCTTCGATTAGGTTCATCTGAGTCGTTAGATCAGATCTACAATTTGAACACTCAGTCGCGCCTAGGCGATCGCCTTGCGCCTCTCTCGCCTTGCTCCAGTCGCGGCTAAGGCGCTCGCCTGGCTCAAGTCGCCTCGCCTGGTACCTTGACAGGCGCAGATGGTGCGACTCGACTCGCCCTGCGCCTAGGCGCGCCTTTGACAGCACTGGATTTACAATTTAACTTTTCTGGCTGGAGCTGTTTATTTTTGTGTCCACAATTGTGAAAATGTGCAAGTTTTTCCTTTTGTAGACATAATATATTATGGTGGTTGTATCGTCCTTGTTTGCATAAACATAGAGCAATTTAATACTTTATGTTGAAAAACAATGTGGCTAGCTATGAAGCATGGACACGCCAAAATGGAAGCCGTGGCGGTGTCGGATACGGGGACAACGCCGAGGACACGTACGGGACACGGCATCTGGCTTGTCCCCTTAATTTAATTAATTTTTTTGCGAGTGACACGGCGGAGACACGGTGGGGACACACGTGTCCAAATCTGAACAAACCATGGGACACGGGAGAAGAGTAAATGAAAGAGAAAATTAGTACAAACCTGGTCAATGACTTCTCAGCCTTTGATCTCGAGCCAATCAACCTCCATCCAGTCCATTTCGACGATCCAGTCCACTTCAACTCAGAGCTTTCTCTCTCGCCTTCGGCTTCGCATTTGCAGAGCTCTCTCTCTCTCGCCTTCTCTCTCTCTCCCTCCCTTGAGATCGCGATCGCGATCGCTTCTGTCTCCCTCTCTCTCGCTGATCGCGATCGTTGGTCTTCTCCCTCTCGCTGATCGCAATCGCTGGTCTCCCTCTCTCTCGCTTCTGCTTCTGTCTCCCTTTGTCTCTTCTGTCTCCCCGTCTTTATCCTTGATTCATATAGGAGTATAATATATATAACTATTATTTATTATAATAACTATTATTATATATTATAACTAATATATAATACATATTATAAGATAATATATACTTATTAATTATTATATAATAGTTATTATATAACATAAATATAGTTATAAGATAATATATAATACATATTATAAAATAATATATACTTATTAATAAATAAATAAACACATATATGTAAAATAAAATAAAAAAATTAATTTGAACACATTATTTAAAAAATATAATAAATAAATAAAATAATTAATGTGCATTAAAATAAAAATATTTATAAAAAAAATAAAAAATTTGCCGCGTCCCCTACCGTGTCCGTGTCCGTGTCCCCATTTTTTAGAAATTACCGTGTCCCATGTCCGTGTCCGTATGCGTGTCCGTGTCCGTGCTTCATAGGTGGCTAGTGATTGAAGCATATTTGGTCTAGGTTATTGGTTTAGACTAGGTCAGGATTTTCAAAAACACGTGTTGGGAGAAGTGTTTACAAAGGCAAAGCTTGGGGGAAACGTCTGTTTGGTATTTGTGCTTCAATGCTTCTAGTTGGTAGCCTTTTGATCCAAATAATGATTTCGATACCAGATATGTCTCACATCAAATGTAGAAAAAAGAATTTTAGAAGTCAGTTTACACTGTGAAAATGCTAATCATAGCACTGAACTTGTTTTTCATGCATACCATGAATCTTTAACTAAATATAAACAAAGACTTTAACAAACAAACCTGGAGTATGATATGACAAGTCAGCAAATACTTGATTTGATAAACCATTTGCTTTGTAAATACACGGGCTTTGCATGGTTAAGCATGAAATCTATGACCAGCTGCATTTTTGCTGCACAAATTAATGGTAAGAGTTATTTCTCTGCTCTTGACCTTTTTCTTCCTTTTATTTCCGTCTAAGGGTTGATACAGGTCACTGTGTGGTTATTTAAATGTGTTATTCTATTAAGTATAAACAGCATGAATGATTCTGAAACCTTGGGAGTTGTGAGAATTTTCTTGGATGATCTTTGAAGTGTAATATTTTTACATGTTTCTTTCTTAACATGCTCATCTTTGAATAGTGTATGTGCCACGAGGGTGAGGCAATATTATGTACTTAGTTTGCTTCATTTCTGTTCTTATTATAATTGACCATCTTTTGCCAATTTCTTTTTACCATTATGTATGAGCTTGTGGTTTGGTTGAAGTAATTTATTTGTCAAAATGGACTTTAGCTTGTGAATCTCATGTGTTCTTTCAGGCAGTAGCAAACTCTACATCAGCAACTTTCTTGCGTGTTGTTGGAAGTGAATTAATACAAAAATACCTGGGTGATGGTCCAAAGTTAGTGAGGGAACTTTTCAGGGTTGCTGATGATCTCTCACCTTCAATTGTGTTCATCGATGAAATTGATGCAGTTGGTACAAAGAGGTGAGTCCATGAAGATTACTGCGTGAAAAGGCCAAACTATTGGGTATATTTTTAGTTGTTTATGTCCTGCAGGTATGATGCCCACTCAGGTGGTGAACGCGAAATTCAGAGGACCATGTTGGAACTGCTGAAGATATAGATGGTTTTGATTCAAGAGGAGATGTGAAGGTGATTCTAGCAACAAACAAAATTGAAAGCCTTGATCCAGCACTGCTTCGGCCTGGTAGAATAGATAGGAAGATAGAGTTCCCACTTCCTGATATTAAGACTAGGAGACGCATCTTCCAGGTAAATGCATGACATGATTATGCAAATATAAGATTAATTATTAATTTAGATTTCCATTAACCCCATCTTTATGATAACTTATGTGCCAAGCAAACCTTTTGTGTCTGAAATGCAGATACACACATCTCGGATGACGTTGGCTGATGATGTCAACTTAGAAGAATTTGTTATGACCAAGGATGAGTTTTCTGGAGCCGATATAAAGGCAATATGTACTGAAGCTGGTTTACTTGCTCTAAGAGAGCGCCGTATGAAGGTGAGACAACTTCATTGTTGATGAATTATATATGCATCATTTGTGTTTGTTGCAATTCCATGTTACAACTAATTCTTAAAACATGATGCTTTTTGGCTGCTCTGAATTTTGGCTTGTAAAGTGGAGATATGAGAGTATTAGACACAGATGAACTTTAAGTAAGGATTAGTGTTTTCAGACCCATAGTTATACCATATTGGGTCCCCTCCTATAGATCTAATTTTCAACTTTGTACAAAGAAAAATGATGGGAGTTTGTGAAGGGAAAATATCAAGAAGCAAAACAAAGGAAGAAATAAAAATGAAGAGGCAAGATTATGGCCTCTTTTTTTTTTTTTTTGTTGATCAAAAAGATTATGGCCTGTTTTGTGGACATATTCTGTTGCAAATCCCCCAGTCCAATATTTAGGCTTGGTTTGGGATGTTAGAAAAAATTCAAAAAGTTAAAAAGTTACAAAAAAAGTCATCACTATTCACAAATTAAAAATATAAAAAAATTAATATACATAATATTTTAATACAAACCAACTTTACACTGTGAAAGGTACTGAATTGATGGGAAAGTACCGTAAAAGGAACAAAAAAAAAATTACATATATATAATAAGTTGAAGGTAATGTTGAGCCCGTGGGGGCCTACCACGGGTACCCGTTTTAATAATTAGAACCGTTCAATATGTAGAACTCGTCCAATACTATATACTTGTAAAAAATCACATTCATCAAATATCGTTAACTATATGATCAAATCAGTTTTGTATAAAAAATGAATGGTGTTATAGTTAACGGTTGACAAAAAAACTAATCCGATCAGATAGTTATAGATATCCGATCAATAAAATTCTTTACAAATATATAATACTCGACGAGCTGTACACATTGAACGGTTCCAATTAACAAAACAGGACCCATGGTGGGTCCCCACTGGCCAAAGAGCACCGTCTAAATAGTTACCCGAAAAGAAGGTAACCATTTCCTATTACACTACTCTGCAAACCTTGTTGCCACCGTACACCCTACACTGTCAAAAATTTTCCTACACACTAATTTATACAATTTTTTAGTACACATGTTTTCGTAAAAAATCAAAAAGTTAACTCAAACATCTATCTTTTTTTCCTTAACTTTTTAGTTCAAAAAGTGCACTTATTTAGGACATCCCAAACAACCCTTTATTTTGCTGGTTGTTTGGAATCCTTAAGGCAGTGTTTGGTTCATGGATTTGGGGAGGGATTTGGCAAAGGAAAGGGAAAAGGTTGGTGAAATGTTAATCCTCAAATCCATGAATCAAACGCAGCTTAAATCAACAATGTTAGACTGGAATCTATTTGGTTAGTAAATTTCACAAGTATAGATTTTTTTGACTTTGTATTCAATTTTCAGGCACACAACATGCATAGGTGACATTGGCCACGTATATGTTAGTGAACTCATGATGTCTTGCCTTTTCAACTAGGGAAAAGAGCAGAATAAAGTGAAATACAACTAATGATAATTAGACTAACCAAGAACAAGAACCTCAATGATAATTAATTATTACAAGAGTAAATAAATGAACCACTGTGTTAGTTATGTGTTAGTTATTTCTCTGAGTTTGCCTGTCTATTAAATATATATGTCCACGTCAGTCTTGAGGTCCTTGACTTTGTCCTTGTGAATTCAAAATCTATACAAATTATTGGATGCTTTATTCAATTGCATGTTGTTTAGACTCAGTTGTCTAATAGAAATTGTTCTATATGTGCCTCAGGTTACGCATTCAGACTTCAAGAAGGCTAAAGATAAGGTCATGTTCAAGAAGAAAGAGGGGGTGCCAGAAGGACTCTACATGTGAAAATACTCTGTTCTCTATGGAAATAGTCATTTGTTTTGCTTGCTTTTAGACTTCCATTTCTGTGCTTATATACTGTTGAATATTTCGCTATGAGATATATTGCCGTCTCATGTGGGATGATGATGGGGTAGTTTCTGCAAGGAACGTTCTGGTTCAGTCAGTTGCCGTTTAATCAATGAACTCATTCCTTTTGACAGATTTTCATTTCATCAAACAGCTTCAATTTCTGAGGGTAATGTGTGTTGCTAATGTGTCATTTATTGTTTCCGCTGTTGTGGGTCTGATGGAAAACTACTTTCATCTCCGGTTTAGAGAGCACTTTTTTCGTGGAAAATTCCTCTGGAACATGAGAAGCTAAACAGGTGGTTACCTAGTCATGGCATGGGTGAATTGTAATTTTTAGGGACATGCTTGCAATCAGGGATGAAAGTAAGAATTCAATCTTGTTTTGCTTGGTAGTATCCGTGAAGTGGGTTTCATAACTGAATGTCGGGTGAATTGTGTTGTTCTACCGATCCTCAGTTGTTATAGTAATATACTATTGTGAGGTATGCTTTTGAAACATTTTTATGCATGCAACAGCAGCAGCACCATGCTGAAAAGATGCTATTGAACAATTTTGTTCACAGGCATGGAATCATCAGAAAATATGCGCAGGGTAAAGATTTGCTTGCTTGCTAAATAAAAGTATTGGGATAAAGTAGGGAGAAAAAAAAAAGATTTTTGCGGGCATTTAAATATTGGGAGATCTATAAATCATACTTATATGAGGCCAGTAACTTTTCGTCTCAAAATATTAGTTTTTTATTTTATTTTTTATTGTCTCAAATGTTAGTCTTTTTTCAAAAATTAATGATTAAAATAATATAAATTTTTTATTTTGCTATTCTTTTAAATTTATTAATACAAAAAGTATAATTATGACAATTTATATTTTTTTTAAAAAATGTATTATCAAAGGATAATTTTGAAAAGTTAATATTTTTAAAATATAATAATTTTATTGCGAAAAAGAGTTAAATTTCTTAAAAGAGCCTATTATGTTGAGGGAATAATTTTGGCCAATGGGCCTTCTCTCTTTTCTTCAAGGCAATATCTGTTTCAAGAATGGGCCGAAAAGCCTTTACAAAAGGCCCAATACCAAGCTACAACCCAACTATTTTTAGGGTCCAAAGCCAATCGAAGCCCAAAAGCTTTTCTCACTCTAATGAGGCTGTATGTTTGAGTTTTTTTTAAGTCAAACTTATGACTTCTGACTTTTGAAAAATTATTTTGAACTATTTAATTAAATTTATTTTAAACAGTTTCTGATTTTAACAATTTATTTTAAGTCAAAAAAATTGATTCTTAAAAGTTGCTCACCCCTTGCTTCTGTTCTGCTGTGGACATGTTAATTTACCGTTATACTCTTAGATTTTTTTATTTTATATTTTTTAAAAAATAGAAAAAGACATAAATGGACTATAAAATATTATTATTATTATTTATGAGAAATGTAGACAAGTAGTGAATAATAAAAAATAAAAATTAATTAAAAAAGTTACTTCATAACTTATTTAACAAACACTACTCAGCAACTTAAATCTATAATTCAACAGTTACCCCTAACAAATTAACAATTTCTGATTAAAATCATAATTTATACAACAATGATTCATCTCACTAAAAATATCACCACTAATAGCACTAATGCATTAAAAAAGTAAAAAAATATAAAAAAAATATAACTCTAAAATCAAAATATCACATCATTAATAACGGAACCCACTACCACCTAATTAGTGGGAGCACTAATTAGTACTCCCAAACATTTTTCTAATTTATAATATGTTTTAACAGTCACACGGGCCAATCACTTCAGCTTGTTTGGACTTCGGGAAAGTGAAGGAAACTAGAAAGAAATAAACCTGTTTCGCGCTTAGACGCTCGCGCGCGCTGACTGTGTGTTGCGTGTAGATCAATCGACCGCCTTGCCCTAGTACAGACGGCGGAGCTATCATCGTCTAGGAAGAAGAGATTACAGAGAGAGAATGGGACCAAGGAAGTGTCAAGTGTGCGACGAAGCACAATCCAAATACAAGTGCCCCACCTGTCTCATACCCTAGTATGCACCAGTCACTCTCTCTCCTCTCTCTCTCTCTCTCTCTCTCTCTTCGATTTTTTTAGGGTTTGGTTTGTTATGAACAATGATTAAACCTCTGATGCTTTGTTTTTGGACTCGCAGTTGTTCTGTGGTCTGTTTCAAGAAGCATAAAGGTACAGTAATTGTTCTTCTTTTTGTAATGCTTTTTTTTCTTTTTTCTTTTTTCTTTTTTTGTGGTTGCAAAGGAGGGAAATTGAATGTGGAATTGTGCATGAATGTGCAGAAGTTCCATGCGTTAAGCCAGAATCATCTTCTGAAGCAAAATTGAGTGAGTATTCTGTTACTCTGTAAGTCCTGTGTTGTAATTGTTATCATTTATCTACAGGCATTGCTTCAGCATATTTAACCTTCTTTGAATCTTTGGTGCCTTTTTTTTTTGTTTTGTGTGGAACTTGGATCGAAATTTTCTTGATGTTCAGAAAAATGAAAGTTTATTTTCCATTTTGTTGTAGGAATGTTATCCAATTACATTGACTTGTAATGAAGCATCAAATTTTTTTACTGTTTCGCAGCAATTTTGAAGAGTCTCATTTTGAGAAAATCTAAACGAATTATCTTCAAATCTTGGTGCAAACTTCATGATTTAGAATCAGAAAGTGTAGAGTTGCTTAGTAATTGGAAGGAGTAGTTAATTTTAAATAAATAAATAAAGAAGAAGAAGAAAAAAAAGATAAGGACCAGGAAAAGCTTTAAGTTAGTTAACCCCGGGGATAACTTGAATTAAATCAAACCCTGCAAATATGCCAAATGAATTATATTGTGGAATCACTTAAGACTATGACAATCACATTTGATCAAGGACCCATGTTTATGTAGTATTGAATGCATTGATTGTATATATATATATGTATTCAGGGAACTTTTTGAGGCGCTGAAAGGATTTCCAATGATCATTGTTGTTAAGGTCATCAAGGCTTATATTGGTTTACATATGTGATGCCTTGGTTTATAGTTTCATATGAATGATGCCAGTGCCATGCCATTGCTGTATTTGCCTCTTTCACAACACATTGTTTGTTTGTTAAAAAATAGTACTTAGCTAACTGGAATTCTATGTAACCTTCAAATAGTTTAAAGTCTCACTGTGGTTCCACGTGCAATTACATGTCAAAATCCGTAGTTATAGAGTACTTGCTACCTCTAGTGAAGTATCTCAAGCTCTTAATATGATGTTACATCAAATTATATATATATATATATTTGACATGTACATAAGATGAGTGTTGTTGAGATGAGAATATTAAGGTGTATGTGTGGCAAGACTAGAAAAGACAAAGTTAGGAATGAGTATATTTGAGAATGGATAAGAGTAGTACCGATAGAAGATAAGTTGAGAGAGAATAGATTGAGATGGTTTGATCATATACAATGGAGATCAACAGGGGCAGTAGTAAAGAGATGCAATACAGTGACAGTAGATGGTAATGTTAAGGGGAAGGGGTAGACCTAGATTGACGTGGACTAGTGTAGTAAATAGAGATATGAATCTCCTTAATTTGACTAATGAAATGGCCTTGGATAGAGTCGAGTGGAAAAGAATGATTCATGTAGCCGATCCCATTTAATGAGATTTAAGGTTTGGTTTAATTATATATATATTTGAGGGCAACAGAATACATCCCCATTGTGTTACCACAGGAATAATTTCTTCCTGCTTCAAGCCTACGGCATCTTCTTTGACTAACGTTCCTGAGTGCATCTAGTAAGAAGCACTCCCGAGTCCTGTTCTACGGGATTGTATTTGTGGAATCATGGTACATAAAGTTAATTATCTTGAAGTAATTCAGTTCTGTGTTTTTACATTCAAGTGTTGTTCATTTAAGGGTATATTTATGTCTATATGGTTGGCACCCCTGTTGCCTTTTTTTTATTTACATATATTTTAAATATACCTTTACTTTATGAAAATAACTCTTCGCTTTCATTTTTTTTAGATTATAGCCTGAGATTCTCCATAATCCAAGTACCTCTTTTTCAACTCCTCCCCTTAGTGACAGGAGTAGTATTTTGCGTAAGAATGTGAAGGGCCACAATTGATACAACCTATGGGCTTTTCCAAACTCTTCCTGCAGGTGATCCCTTCCTGCAGTGGAGTAGCATACTGTTGAAAAATTGCTTTTCGAAAGCTAAAAAATGTATGTTTTAGGGTGCCTGTGCCTATGTTAATGCTAGGTTAGCACATGAAACTCACACTGCTGAATTCTGCGGCTATGATACATGGTAATGGTTTTACATGCCATTGACAACTTCCAGAGTTGCCTGTTGGGTCCACCTATTGTATAGTTGTACCTTGCTGCTTAAGTGGTAATGATCCTTTACTTTCTTCAGTGGCATAGCTACTCAATATTGGTGTCAATAGAGATATGAATCTCCTTATTATCAGAGCTGTGTCTTTATTATTTATTGTTATATTGTCCAAATGTCCCAAGATGACCATAAGATTTGTTTAGTGATGTAGCCTGGTGGACTTGACAGCAGAGGTTCCCACATCTTCCCCTCGCCTCTGCTTCTATAACTACTTGATACAAAATTTGAAAGTCATTTTTTCCTATTTTTAACATTCTCCATCTGCTAAATTATCAGCTTCACCTTCAGGTCCAATATTGCATGTTGAAAGATCATACCATGTTGATGAACCAAGTGTGGTGCTCCAACAATTGCAATTAGAGTCTATAGGTATGGTTTTATAACTTTTGTTGTAATATTACCTTTTTAAATTCTTTATGCTAGTGGCAGTTCTGTTAGTTTGAAATCGTGAACTTAAATTTTGTGGAAAATATGTCAGATAAACAATTGGCATCATATCCTGATTGAGAGTGAAGCATGGGAATGTGGTAAGAAAATTACAAATTTTTTAATCATATCTTTCAAAATGGTGGTGCCTATCAAAAACAGGAAAAAGTTTTCTAATGGTGGGCATCTATGAAACATTGACAGCTGCAGTAATGTATCCCGGAAAAAAGCTTGATGGCTGCAGTAACATTTATATCGTATATTCAATCTGTAGACACAGTGCAAGAATGGTGTATGAGAACCAACTATAATAAACTTCCAATAAAATCTTGGAGTTCACAATAGATCATGAGATTTTTGGTACTTGGAGCCTTCAAGGGATATATGTACATAACAAGAGATATTTGTATTAAGACTCTTTAAGAGGATATTTTTGATTATTTAATCTTTTCATTATTAGAATCTGGATTTTGGGTAAGACTTGTGCATGATTTTTCAGGATTGAATCATTCGACAAAATCAAGATTTGAGCTTTTTAAAACTATTCGGTGGCTAAAAGAAAATAATATATATTTTTATAACACTGGAAACCACAACTCTTGGGTTCATATCAAATTTGGACCCTGATTTAAGCCTTTGACAGCCCTAATTGCAGAATGATTAGGATAAGCTACTTCCTGTAAGCTAAGTTATGAAAATTCACGTATGTACACATCTGGAAGATTCCCCAGGGTTTTTCATGACTTGACATGCATGGTTGTGATTTAAACTCATTATGCCATGATACATCAGAGATGATATTTCCAACCTTCAGTTTTTCTCCTCAAAATGTGTGCTTCTATTTCCTGGACTTGTCTCTGAACCATCTCTCTCTTTTTACTGCATAAGAGTGCATAGTCTATATTCATGGTCGTAAGGGAACCTTCACCATACCAGGCATTTCTATTCCTCTGGTAAATCAACTCCAGTTAGAGATTTTCGGAGACACCTCTGTGTTTAGATTGCAATTTTATCAGTTAGATTGTTTTCCATGAATCCATATTTGTTGGTAGTCAAAACAGTTTGATAAAGAATGCATGTCTGTTACTGGATGTATTTGAACACGATTCTTGTACGTTTTAACTACTTGAAATTAATGGATTGATAAGGAACTTTGGTCTTCCAGTAACTTCTTTTTTCTACATGGTAGAGGATCAGATGGATCCAGCTTAAATTTTCTGGTTTCAAAATTTTGCTAGAAAATAATTTTGAAGATTTATTTATTTAATGCGTGCCTTGCCAAATGCAAATGGAATTCATGTTTTTCCCTGCAGCTTCTTCTAGTGAGATCCGTGATGCTTTAAAGGATAAGGAGCTTCAAAAACTTATCTACAGCATAGATTGTTCTGCAGATGCTGAGAATGTGAGTGTTATTATGTCTGCTTTACTGAACATTGAAGATGCGAACTTGTCACTTACAATTAACGTAGATTTGACTAAAATATTGGAAGAAACTCAATTATTTCTATATAACCCTTTATAGGAACTCAATAAAGCAATGGAAGTTGAGGCATTCCGCATGTTTTCTGACAAGGTATCACTGGCAGTTGCTTTAATCTTTAAAATTTCCGTAAATCCTTCTTGTTTTACCTTAGAATTGTTGATTTTTTGTGAACTGGATTTGATTGCTTTGAGCTGTTAGCATTACTTGTTTATGTTTCCTCAGATTTTATCAACCATTAGTCCACAACAATGAGCAGTTGTATCTAGATGAAGATATCGCAAGAACCTTGATTTCTTATCAAAGAAGCAGTTCGTAAAGCTAGGGCTTTTGTCACCTTTTTTACACTAAATCTTGGCTGTTCCAATCTCGATTGAGAGGTATAGCCCTTCACCTTAGATTTTGATCAGAAATTTATCTCATTAATACTTGATGAAAGAAGAGCCAAATTGTGTATAGATGCATGCAGTGGGAATCTTGTTAGATCTTACCTGCTTTGAAATTATCCAGTGGCTACATAATTTTTGATGTATTATTTTTGACGTTTGGTGAACTTTACATGTGAAAATGTTTTAGAATTCTCTAGTTAGCCACATAATGAAGAGAAAAGGACAATCTTACCTACTCTAATTCTTTGCACATGGACCACATTATGCACCTGTGGGCTTGCACAACTCTACTCCATCAGACTTGCTCAAGCCATAATAGATGGTCTGTTGAGTTTTTTTGGTTATCTTGTATGCAAAAATCTGTGTAGATTTTGTGTAGATTCTTCTTATTGCAGCTTAGGCTTTTTTTCTGGAAACTGTGTTAATATACCATGTGTGCTTGAAGCTATTTGGATGTACAACATAGGGAAAATTATAATATGGTCCTAAGATAAATCCATGGGGTGTCCCAACTTGTCTTTTATTGGTTGAATTAGTGGGACCTACCACTTTTGTGTTGGCTTTTGAGAGACAACATGACAAGTGTCGCACAATCGAGAGACCTTAACTAGAGTGAATTGTCTTCTTTATGCTCTTTCTGCTCAGTGTTTTAAAAGGCTCTAAGCGCACTGAGGCGATAAGGTCTCCTATAGTCTAAGCGCAAGACGCGAGGCGAAGCGCGCGCTTCACCAAAGCAAAGCTCAAGTAGTAGAAGAAAAGTAAAATTATAAAATAGGCAAATTTTTCAACATAACAAATACATATATATAATTTAAAAAATCATAACCATTTTCGATAATCTCTAAACATAACCTTTAATCTTCTAAAAATTAGAAATACAATATCCAACAAAAGATATAAAGCATATCATTCAATTTTTTATCACTTTCTGGTCTCTTTTGACCACATTTGGTCATTTTATATTGAAGAGTTTTGAATCCTTGTGCGTATGCCCACAAAAAAAGTGCTTAATCAACAATTAGAGTAAAAAAATAGGTAAAGCCAACGAAGCCCCGCCTTGCGCCTCGAAAAAAGTCCTCACCTCAGCGCCTAAGCTGCACCTTGCGCATTGCGCCTCGCATTGACTTATTCGAAGCGCAATACCTTCTAAAACACTGGTTCTGCTGTGTAAGATGAGAATGTCTCTTTAGGGTTGGACATGAATCTGAATTGCTTTCAATTATTGAATCCAAGTGCCTAGAAGTCAGTATAAACAGAACATAGTTAACAACTTTTTTATCTCCATTTTCATACTTTTTCTTGCTAGCATACACCATTAGTCTGGCTTCCCCATCTCTCCTCTTATTTCCACCAATCCTCAATCTTGCACCTTCCTGCATAAGACAGTCGATGAGATACCTAACTTGATATATTAGTGTCATGTGATTTTGGGTTAGAACGTTTAACCACTTATCTTGTGTTTGGTTTATAGGAATGAAAGTGAAATAGAATGAAATGATCATTCAATAATCTCTTTATGAAAATGACAATTCCTTTACAATGTGAATAATTATTTCATTTGCAATGTGTTTATTATTATTTGTCCCAATTACTTGGGAGTAGGACTATATGAATCCGTTTTGCTTGGCCTTCTTCCATTGAGTTTGAAGCCACATTTCATTTCTTATCATCTCAACTTATATTTTACGTGGTCTTCTTCCAACTTTCATAACCCTGCATGTCTTTCTTTGCCGAGGAAATCCAGTTACAGTAGAGCCTAAAGCAGCTGTCGTGGTAAATTGTAATGATGCGTGCCTCCTTTTTGGAAACTTTTTTGTTTTCTCCAAATTAAAATAAAATCTCTAGTGTGGGAAAAAATTACACTCAGGTCTGTATTAATGGAAAATATTTTCCATGCAACTTTTTGCCAAAAAGTCTTTTGAGCTAGTATGGGCGACACATAATTGTTGTGACTGGAGTGGCAGTGATGATAATAGTAGTAATGACATTAGAAAGATTATTGTATGTCCCAATAGGTCTATAGTTTTTTCAAAAAAATACATAAAGAAACAAAACATTTTACTTAAATGAACTCATTTTTCATCAATTTTGAAAAACAGTATACATTTTTCTATTGCACTAAATGTCAATAATGTATAAAAATATTTTTCAAAATATATTTTTTTCGAGTACAGAGGGAAGAGGGTAAATGTCGAATACTTGAACACCATTTTTTTATATTAAAAAAAATAAAAATAAATAAATCCAAACTAGCTTTTTTAAGCAGAATAAAAAAACATGAAAGACAACAAATTTTCTGCCCTCTTCTTTTTCCAAATTATTACTCCCCAACAAGGCCTTAGATTATGACTTTCAGATATAGATTCCAAGCTTTTCTTGTATATATGGCTGGTCCAATCATATTCTCTTTTTTTCTTTGTCCATATATTAAAGGAATCTCTATGGCAAAAAAAAGGGTCGTTATCATTCTCCAGGTCCAGAGAACCCGTACCCATCTCTTGGTGGTATAAATTCCACTGCCACGAAAACTACGGAGAAGGAAAACTTTATATATATATACACTAATGGTCCTGTGATGTGTAAAAAAATTAATCGTATAAAAATAATGATAAAGAAAAATACACACATAACATGTGCTGTTCAAGAATTTTCTGTTAAATTCATAATTTCGGTTTCAATTCCTATTCTCCTTTTAATATAATTTTTACATAAACACTAACTATAAGAGTATTTTGTAAAAATCCAAAATATGAAATATTTTGTGTCAACACTAACTCAAATCTTTACACATATAATAGTATAGATATAGATAGATAGATAGGTAGATAGATAGAGACAGATAGATGTAACGAAAGCTTGTGCCGTCGTGATCAATGGAGAGAGATGACACTGCGAAGAAATTTGTTGGGCAATCAGTGTTGTTTCCTTCCCATCAGCAATATTAGTAGCAGTAGAGGTGGGCTAGCAGTAGAGGTGGGCCTCCTGCAACAATTAAATAATAATATACCAAAATCAGAGTGTCACACATAAATACAACAACAGCTGGCTGCTCCTTAAGGCCCCTTGGCGATCACCATGCTCACCTTCAATCATATTTTGGGTTATGGCTTTGTTGCACTCAACATTTACCCATTTGTATAAATCATCATTTCTTTCCATCATGTATCTTAATAGTTTTGTAAAATAAAAATAAAATAATGAAAACTAAATGTTCCAATACTATTTAACAAATTTTAACAGTAAGATATCTTATGATAGGATTATATGTTCACTTTCCAAAATATTTAAGGAATCAAAATTTTAAAATAATAAAAATTCTTTTGATCAGATAGTTTTTCAAGTGTAGTGCATCTAGAAAAATTCTATAAAATAAGAAGATATGATTTTTCTTTTTCTTTTTCTTTTTGTTTTAAAAAAAAAAAACAAAACAAAACAAAAAGTAAAATATTGCAAAAATTAAGAGTGACATGATCAAGCTGAAGCAAATTCAACCTCAGATCAAAAAATTATAATACAACTAGGGAACAAAAGGTAATGGAAATAATTACATGTTAGCTGTGTTATATTATATTAGCCATCCGGTATTTTGACTGTACTAGTGCTGGTGTTTTTCTCTTACACTACAAAAACTCGGCAGCCGAAGTGCTTTTCTTAATCCATCCTGTCTGTGTATATATATATATATATATCAACCTGCAATGCACAAAGATTCTCAAAATGAATCATACGTTTTAAGTTAACTAGAACAGTCTCCAACCCAACCCTCTGTTGTAAACCGGAGGATTTAACAGATTGGGATCCTAACTATATCAACTTTCTTGTAGAACATAATCCATAAATTTTGAAGACATTTGAAACGAGGTTTGAAGCGGATAGCTTGGCTTGTGCAATTGTGTGATGGTTTGAAAATCACAATTTTCGAAACCAGTGTGTGCCGAATTGTGTTTGTATGCACGCATGCGTGGGTGCAAGAGAGGCACTTAATTTACTGCAGCTAACTATATGACACTTTTCTATTTCCCTGTCAAAACAGTATGCATAGAATCAATAACCAATCAAACAGAATTACAAGAGTTTTCAGCATACCAGAGTGGAGATTCTCATGATTCTCCACTTCTCTGCTGCTACTTGGCTTGCTGCTACTTGGCTGCATCATTTGTTGATTCTGTACGAAGATTTGAAGGACCAAGTCAGTCGACAATTCTAACAATTTGATGATGCAATATTACTTGTAATGTAAGAATATTCAAGCTCCAATAGACACTTGACGGGTGAGTCCAAACATACCTGTGGCATTGGTACTTGTGTGTGGTGGAAACCAAGATACTGCTGATAAGGATCAGGAAAGCTTGGCATTCGCGGTTGGTTGGGATCATGGTTTAGCATGGGCTGTGTCTGACTAGGTACTTGGATTCTGGATGGATCATGTACAGGAAGAGGCGGCATATGAAACGCTGGCACGGGGAATCTTGGGGCCAAATGAGATGCTGCAGCTCGTGTTGGCAAGGCTGAACCAGCCAGAACAGAGGGGAATGGCATCATTGGTCGACTCATGCCCATCTCCATTCCCATGCCCATTCCCATCCCCATCCCCATCCCCATTCCCATTGGAGGCATGTACTGCTGAACACCAGGAAACATCAGGGGAACCATGCTGCATCCCATGGACATCATCTGCAGAAATTGGTTACAACCTAGTTTTCTTCATAATTAATACAGGAGCTAATAAAAGTTTTTTCAGGTGAAGAAAACATGCCATAAGAGTAAAAATATTAAATAGATTGGCCAGAATGTGACTCCGTAAAACGATGACATGAATGCATGCAACAATCCTATCCTATTACATAATCGTAACAAATGTAGATAGGGTTGAATTTCATAAGCCAAATACATGATAACATGCATGCAAGTATTCTAATATAAGCTGGAAAGAATTGAAATAAAAATTAAGTTCTACTAGTAGAAGTGTCATATACATAAACAAGTAAAACAAATGCATTCTCAAATAGACAGTGACATGAGATCCGTCAGTTTTTTTATGCAGCTGAATGTCAGTTTCATCGGAAACCCACCCAATCTTTTCCCCAGCAAACATGATGCACACTACTAGCTCATTTAGGCATAATATATAATCACCACATAAATCCACCACATCTAGGTTAGAAGGAAATTCCATGACCTTGGTGCATGGAGGGTGCTTGGTGTTGTCATATGACGTTGTACAACCAAATAGTGTTACTACCTCCAAAACTACAGCTCTAAAACTTCAGCCATAGGCAGGTGATGTTTCGGGCTAGTCAAATCCCCAATATAAGATTCCAATTTAAAGTAAGGTATCAAAAAGCACAGGATACAACTGCACATTTTCATCTTGCATTTCACCCAAAGAGTTTCCTGCGACTCATTAAACCTTAAGGATCCAATCAATAGAGAGGCTGGTTGTTTGTAGAAACTTCTATGTGTAGTCTAGTTAAGCAGGCTAGAAGTAACTCTCTTTTTTCTTACTTTTTTTTTTTTTACTTCTTTGATGAATGAGAGGTGCCTGAAAATGTTATAATTATTCAAACATGTGTGGGTCTGCCTCCTTTGGGTGATTCTATATTGAAACTAATGTAATAATTATATAATGGAAGAATGTAGGGGATTGAGATCGGCTAATACTGGCTATTCAAAAAATTTGTACCAGCCTTCTTTTAGATTTGAATTTTACAGGAACAAATGAAGAGAGTATAAAACCACAATATAAGAAAGAATAGAAAAGGAATGTATGCCTGCACTTGCAATTGGAGTGATTTCAAGTACTCAATAGCCTCATCCAACATAGATGCTTTGTCTGACTGCAATGCATATAGGCAGAAAAAAAAAATTAAAAATAATAAATGAAGAACCTAACTCGGGAAGTAATCCCTCCACACTCACAAGCGTCACATAGACAGAATCAAACACGATATGCCAACCTTGTTGCAACGAGGTATAAGCTCCTGCAATGCCTTCATTTTCTCATTTATCCTATCTCGACGCCTCTGCATGAGATGCAATATTAGACCGTGAAGAAAAATAACCACAAAAAAAGGGAATGCAACAGCACTACATCAGTAAACTGTAAAAGAACGTACTCTTTCTGACAGATTGTGGACCTCTGCAGCACGAGATCTCTTCGTAGATGTTGATCCACGAACTTGTTTCTTTGCATCAGGATACACATCCTGTGGTGGTAGAAGAGCACTAGAACTTCAGAATGAGCTAAATCAGACAAAGAAGGTACAAGATCTTTGAAGTAAACCAACAAACATCCCCATGAAAAATCATGATCAATGGGCTGATACAGTGCTTCTTGTCATTTTATTGCCGGGGTTAGCAAGCCTAGCATTATGTAAAAGACAAGATACTTATGCTTCAGCACATGGCTATCATACATCAAGCTTTTATGGAGCAATCAATTATTCAGCTTCCTATTTGTTGAGTAAAAAATGCTTGTCAACACAAATATAACCCATACAGACATTGTCATTCAGAGTTGCATTCAAAATGATGTCTCCATTTAAGGGGAAAACACTAAAAGGAAACTAAATAGCTCCTTTGTTAAAACCAATGGGAAAACTTGTTGCAAAATAGACTATGTAAATGATCTTATACAACCTATTTCCAAAACCAACGAAACAACAAAGCAAGTGACAAATTGAGAAAGCTTATTTATAAAAGTGGAAAAATAACTAAACTAAATGGTACACCCAATTTAGTCCTATATTAATGGGGTCTAGTAGGGGTGGATTTGGTAAACACTATAACATTTGATCATTTTGTACCAAGTGATTCTACATATCATATTCTTTTCGTCCCAAAACACTTAGACCTAAGATTCTATAACAAGAATTTCAAGATATAATCTAATGGCTATTAGAGTCTTGTAAGGAGAAATGAAACTCATGGCCTTTTTAAAAAACTTAATTTTTAAATTTAAATAGTTTTGAACTTATTTTCTAAAAAATCTTTTTTTTTTTTTAACAATAAATTAACTATAATGATGACATATGTTTTTGAAACACAACTTCAAATTTGAAGTCATATTTTCAAAACGCTAAACTATGTAAAAATGTGAGTAACAACAATAAAAAAATAAAAACTTTTATTTATAATTTTTTTTGAAGTTAGATTTAGAATAATAATTTATTAATAATAACTTCTGGTTGCAACCAATGTTTATCTTTTTACTAAGAAGATGATTGAGCCTCCGTTTGGGAAGTGGGTTGGCTTTTTGGCTTTTTTGGCTATTTTAGCCTGGGCTAAAAAGCTTGGTTTGGGAAGGGCTTTTTAGCTTTTTGGCTTTTTTTTGTGAGAGAAGAGTAATGATTATGGGTTGGATGTGATGTTTTGTTTGTTGTGGCTAAAATAGTCTGTTTTGTCTTTTGTGGCTATTTTAGCCCCAACCCACTTGCCAAACACCACCTGAAGGGCATTGTTCAAGTCTGAATTAAAAATTTCGTTTCAATAATTCAAATTAAAAAATTCACCTACTAAACGTGTTTGAGTAAAAATAAACCAAAAAAACTTGTTAAGGGTAACAAGAAGTTATTTCCCTAAGGACCTCAAACCATCCCAAAAGCAAGTTGACAATAGGACGAGGAAACTAGTCCCGTGATACGCGCCGAAAATGGTACTTCCCCTCGTCACTTAGATTTGATTGTTACTGTGCCTTTAGCACCACTAGGTGGGTCAGACCCCCTACACACCTAATACCAATATGCACAAAATTATGTGAAAACTTGTGGCATTCCCGCCGTACACGTGGGAGACTGATATCAACAATAAACAGTTAAAGAAGTCGCCATGCAATGCCACGTGTACGATGAGGAATTAGGAATGATGCAACTACTTGACCAAATGCTAACATGCGCCGAAAGTAACATGGGAAATTGCAATTAAGTGAAACACTGTTGGTATGTTTGGTTTAAATTTGTAGAGTGATTTTGAAAAAAAAAATTGAAAAATTTGTTTGGTTGATAATTTTTTCAAAACAATTTTTAAAATCACTCTCTCTCTTACATATCAATCAATCATTTTTTCTTTCTCCTCTCTCCTTCTCAATTACTTTTTCTTCACACACATCTACTCAATTATAACAAAATATCAAATCATTTCAAACTCTCAAACTCCAAAACTACTTTCAAAATACATAACCAAACAAACCAAAAAAAATTTTAAACTCTCTCCAAAATAATTTTTAAAGTCTACTTTCTCAAAACCAAACCAAACATTTTTTTTATGATGATACAAGTGTTTTATATCTTTTAGGCCTATTTTGAAAAAATATATATATATATATATATTGATTAATTAATTTATTTTGAGTTATATATTTTTTTTTAATTTTTACATGTTTTTAAAAAAATTCAAAAATCAATAAATTAACTTCTTTTTCCCCTAATTTCCAAAACAAACCTTAATACAAATTTTTTCTATGGGACAGAATTACAACGAAAAAGATTCTATGTAATTATTTTGCAGGCCCACCATATCTTTTACTTTTGTTTCTTCCAATTTTATATCAAATGATGAGGTTAAAACATGTAAAATGATTCTACATTCATCTCCCTTCATCTTTAACCCCTCCAATCCTAGTGAAATCGGAGATGTAAAATTAGATAATATTTTTTATTAAAGCATTATTATTCGAGACTAAAAATTAAATTAATTTTTAAGTCATATAATATGATAATTAATTAAAATATTAAAAAGCAATACTATCTCATATATTCTCTAATTATCATCAATTATATCACTTATGTATTATTAAGATTTTGTTTGTCAAAACCTAAAAAAATTAAAAAGTTAAAAAGTTACTATCCTATTTAAATTATATCATCTTATTTAAGTCACATCACCTCTCTACCACATCACTTCAAATCCATCTCACATTTCATAAAAAATCAAAAAGTACACTTATTTAAATTATCCTAAACCACTCCTAAATCTAAAAATTAAGTCTAAACCTATGTTTGGGAAGTAAATTAAGTCCTATGTTTGGGAAGTGAGTTTTGTGGCTTTTTTTTTACTAAAATAGTTACAAAAAACAAAATAATTTTTTTAATCCAATAACACAAAACATCACATTAAATCCATAATCATTACATTATTTCTCTTACAAAAAAAAATTAAAAAACCAAAAAAGTCAAAAACCTTTTTCAAACCAAACTTTTTAACTCTAAATTAAAATAATCAAAAAAAATCAAAAAACTAACATCCTTCCCAAACAAAGCCTAAAAAATAAACTCATATATCATTTTCTTGGCCGTTATTATTGTGTAACGGTTATACTATCTATGTGCAATGTGTCAAGAACTAATATTACTCTTAACTCGCTCTGATATCATCTAACTAACAAGGGGAGGGGATGCGCACGCTAAACGACGCGACTGGTCCTACGCACGATAAACGAGACGAATACCTGGGGAAGGTGGAACGAAATATGACTCACCTCACTCTGACACTCAGTGTCGTCGACTTCTCTGCCCTTTCGCTTCCGATCCTCCGTCGTCATCGTCGTCGTCGGCGGCGGCGGCTTGCTCACCGGCTCGGCACTCGCACTCATGCTGGCTCCCGAGCCACCTGGCGATGACGTCAACGTCAGATCACAAGTCCGAATCTCTCTGCCACCGGACGACGTCGTCCCTGCGGCTGTAGCACCACCACCTCTCATGCTGCCGCACCCTACGTTTACGCCTGAGATTTGCGCCGGCTTGGCACATCCGGCAAAGTGAGAAGCCCTGGATTCTTGCGCCGCAGCTGCCGGAGTCTCGCTCGAGTCCACGACCGTCGATTCCCTCACCGCCTTGTTCGAAATCGACGGTCCTGGCTCTGTCCCCTTAGTCCTCCAGAAATGAACGAAATTCTGAAACCTCGCCGAGTGTTCCAACTCCGCACGCTTCGGCGGAGCTATTGGCGGCCGAGAAATGGCCGCCGCCTCGGATGGCGGTGGAATCTTGAGTTCAGGAATTGGTGTAGTATGGGCGAGAGGATCGACGGGAGAGGTCGGCGCAGGATAGACTAGATCAGCGTAGAAGTCACGGTAGAAGGAAGAGTCATCGTTAGGGTAGTTTAACCAAGAGGCCATCTCATCTTCTTGCATGAAGAGCTGAGTAGTCGATTCTTCCTCTGGTCTGATGTCTCTGGCCGCCGACTGCTCCGCTGGTGTAACGGCGTCTCCGATGTCGGACCTCTTGATGGATCTCTGGTTTTGGCTCTGCATAACAACTTGACCGTTTTGCCAAAGTAGCTCCATGATCTCTTCCTCAGCCCTGTTGAATCAAATACAGAGAATCGTATTTATATATATAGAGAGAGAGAGAGAGAAAGCGAGCGAGCAAAACGAAGAGTCCAGAGCTTACATTAGTGATTTCTTTGGGCGAGTTAAACCTGAAGAAGTTGGAATTGAGTAATCTTCGTCCATTTCGAAATCTGGAACGCAGTTATTCATCGCCTGCGAACAAAATCAAAGCACGGAACCAGAATTATCAATTTTAGTTGAACAAACTAAATTCAAATCAATATATGTTCAAAAACAATCGAAACAAAAACTTACAGCATGAATTTCAGAATTAATTCCGCAGTTGAAATCCAAATTCAGAAAACGATCATTAATTTGCATTGAATCATCAGGTCGCCGCCATTGACTTTCTAATCAACAGGAGCTTGAGCTGCTGCTGCTGCTGCTGCTGCTGGCTCTGGCTCTGGCTCTAGAATATGTTTCTCTCTCTAAAACTCTCTTTCATCTGCAATGGTCTGCAATAAGTACATAAATGTCTCTCTGTCTCTGATAGGTATGGCAGTAGATATGATATGATGGGGAAATGGGAAAATTTTCAGAGGATTTGCGGTTGAGGTATTCGTACTTGGTTTGCTCTGCTTTTGCCCTATGTGAAAACGTCCAGCCAACAAAGATAAGGTCATCTCTCTCTCTCCCCCCCGAATAATAGTGGGGTAAATTACATGACACTCTCAGGTTTTATTTAAATACAGATTCTTTGTTAAGATTTTATTTAGGTCTCGTTTTGAGAGTAATCCCTTTAGTTTAAAAGTTTAAAAATTATTTAAAAAAATTAAAAATATATATATAATTTGTATTAAAAAATCAAAATTTCTTTTTTCTTTTTATTTTTTATACATATTTTTATTTTTATACATATTTTCATAAAATATCAAAAAGTCATTCTAATCATATAAGATAGTGTTCAGTAAAGCTTTTTAAATATGATTTGAGAATAGAAATTGTATTTTGAATTTGTGAGTTTTGAAATTATAATTTGAGCGTGAAAAATTTGCTTGGTGAATGAATTTTGAAAAGAATTTTGAATTGAGTAAAAAAATTTTAATGTGACATATGATATTTGATACAAAATTTTACAATTCATAACCAAACACACAACTCAAAATTCTATTAAAACTCATAAAAAATTTTAAAAAATTCAAAAAATATTTTTTGTTGAATATATAAAAATTAATATGTATCAGTTAAAATATATATATATATATATATGCACTGTTCTGGTCAACCGGTGGAACGACCAGTTAACTCAAATTTTTTCGCCTTCGACCGAGTTTTCAAAAGTGAGTGGAATTAATTTTTGAAAGCTATAAACAAACATCATATGCAATGGTGGAACTAAAGTTCCAAAACCCTTCCAAACACGGCTTAAGTTTTTCTTATCTCATATTTTAACTAAAAAGTCAAAAAATTATTAAAATAGCATGTTTCCAAATGAGGCCTTAATACAAATTCTTTATTTATGTTTGAAAAATTGCATTCTCTTCGATGAGGTCTGTAATCTTATTACAAATTACTCTTTAAATTATTGATGTTATGCCTTAAAATTTTTAAATGATCATTTTATCCTTTTTTTTTTTTACTATTTCTTATTCCTATCATTATGACTACATTATACAATTTTCCATCATTAAATTTTACATGAACCTATTCTTATTGAGTGATTATATATAAATATGAATTTTATAAAAAAAAATTCAAACACGATGATATAATTTAATAGTGACCTTTCACTTTAAAACAAAACGCTCATAAACATGATTTATATTTACAATAATATCACTATCACAATATTTTAATGATATTTTTTATATATGAATAGAATTTTTCATTTTTATTTTCACCATCATTTTTATTTTTGGTCTATTCACCCACATTTATTACAATATTATCAAATATCATCATTCACATTTATAATAGTATATTACATTTTTATATTTTTTGTATTTGGTGAATTTAAAAAAAAATCACAAAATATTATACTTCTTAAGCATATCTAGATTAAGTGTATCTAAAAAATAAAAAATTATTAAAAAATAGTAAAAAAAAAATAAAAGAAATTTAATTTTTTATATAAATATTATATTTCTTATGCATATCTAGATTAAGTATATCTAAAAAATAAAAAATTATTAAAAAATAGTAAAAATAAAAAACAAAAAAATAAAAGAAATTTAATTTTTTATATAAATTAAACTAAAGAAAATGATTATTATTTCTCTTAAAATGATATAAATAAAATATTAACATTGTTTTATTATTTTATATGTTTTTTTTATCAGTATTATTTTATATGTTTAAAAGTTAAAAAACAAATATATTATTTTAATTTAACAAAAATAAATATAATTTTTAAATATAAAAAAATCTATATTAAATAAAAATATCAAAAATATCAGCGTAATTTACGCATAAAAGGAATAGTAAGAAAAAAAATAATTGAGAAAATAGTATCACTAATAATGTAGGCCTATGTCTTATTTTTTTATTTTTTTATTTATTTATTTTACATTCTCAATATATTAATATTATTAATAATTTTTTTTTTAATAATATCAATCATTATTGTAGTAAGGGTGAGTGCAAGAGTGAAAGCCGAAAGGGGATTTTGACGGTATATGTGGTATGCATAAGGCGCAAACATATCCTGTCGCTATCACACTCTCACACGCACACTTCCCACCATTGCTGAGATCAACAAAGGTGTCTTAGGTACATATTTTGATTTTTTTAATTTTTTGAGTAAAAAAAAAGTCATAAAAAGGTTACAACCTCATTTCATAGCTCGAAATGGCGTACATCCACCCTTTTTCTTTGTACACCCTTCTCCTCTCTGCTCATCCCTTCCTTTTGAAAAACTCTCACACACATACAGAGCTTCGTTCATCCCCTCTCTTTGGTGTCTTTTTTTTTTCAGAAGAAGTAGAAAATCAAAGGAGGAGGAGAAGGAGGAGGAGGAGGAAGGAGTAGAAGGACTGGAGGGGGCCCAATTATTAGGGCTGGAAGCGGAGGCGACGAGCTGCAAGCTACGACGGCGGGCGGAGGCGATGAACGAGCTGCGAGCTGCGACGAGGACGACGGGCGGAGGCGACGGAGGCGACGAGCTCCTCGCGGCTGAGGCACTGGCCCTTCCTCTCCTCTCTCTTTCTCCCTCTCTCCTCCTCTTCCCCTCTGTTCTCTTGTGTTCAACGAAATTCAACGAAGAAGAAAAAGAAAATCGCAAAACGAAGTGATTTTTAAATTTTGGGTCATTTGACCCTCACCTATTTCGAGCTACCACCTATTTTTCAAAAGATTCCTTTGGTTTCAAAATATTAATTGTTTATTTTATTTTTTATTATTCTAAAATATTAGTTTCTTTTCAAAAATTAAGTATAAAAATAATATAAATTTTTTATTTTATTCTTTTTTTAAATTCATTAACAACATAAAACATATAATTATGACATTGATATTTCTTAAAAAAATACACTATCAAAGAATAATTTTAAAAAATTAATTTTTTTTAAAGTACAATAATTATACTATCAAAAAAATTAAACTTTCCAAAAAAAAATATTAATTTTAGAACAGAAATAATAACTTTTTCAGCTTAAAAAAGTCAAACTAAAAAATTAATTTACAACCAACTTTACAAAACACCGAAAACAAACTCCCTCATGGCCACTGCTATATTTGTGACTACGTTTCTGTCCCCCTCCATTCCAATTTCCAACCCTACTCCTGCCCTAGCCTTCTATATCAAATATTAGTTGAAAATATTATATCCAATAATGGTGGCATTTATGTGTTGTTTTTGGTATGATTGAAAAGTAAATTTTTTTTTTATTTTCATAAATAAATGTGGAAAAGAGATGGAGGGATCAATAAATAACTTATTTCTTGCGTCTCCAAATGAGTTTTTATTTTTGTTAAGAAGGTCCAAAGACTAAAAAGTTATTAAGTTGTTTGTTATAAATTCAAGAAATCAAAGTCATTTTAATTTTTTTTTTACTATAAAAAATTAAATTTTTGAACAACTTTTAAACTCCTTAATTAAAAAAGTCAAAAAAAAAAAACTAAAATAATTAACCCTAAACACTCACACTCACTCAATGCACAATATTATTTTACAGTATAAATCACAATATTATTAATTTAATAATAATTTATTCAGTTAATCTCATTCAATTTTTTTTTATTGACCAATAACACCCTACCCTCTATATTCGTTTCACATAGGTAAGTTTGTCCTACACTCAAATTTTGTATTGGTAGGGAGAATTATAGTAAAGATTTTCTCACTTTGGTGAAAACTAAAAAATAATATACATTTGTAAGAAAGAAAGTATTATAACTCACTTATTTTGGTTACACTGCATGGGAAAAGAGATTTTATTTTTATTTTATTTTACTAAATATAAGGTGTTGTTTGGGAAACAATTAAAAATAATTAAATAATTAAAAAAATCACTGTCAATTTATTCTCTTTACTTTTCATTTTTACTTCTTTCTATGAAAAAAAGAAAAAAAAAAGTGTCCAGTCGAATTTAAAAAAAGTGATGATCAAAAAAAGTATGACAAAGTACGTTTTTTATTGATTCAAACCTAGTATTTAATACTACCCTAAGTACAAGGTTAAGAAGCAACATATAGTGGCTTAGGAATGGTAGTTGAACTTAAATTATTCTCTAAAATAATGCTTGTAAGATTGCCCCTATTAGAATATAGTTTTAAGTGTAAGAAAGTGGTATTACTTTAAATAAACAATGACAATTAACGATAAACTGACTAAAGTTACCACTGTTACTATTATGCGAATAATTCATTATTGAGTCGTTTCTTAGTATCATCTAGCATTTTTTATGTGTTGTTTCTAATGAGTGATGCCCCTCGTAGGGAAAAAATATACAAATAAGATAATATTAACTTATCTTTATTAAATAGTTACAGGATTAAAAAAATTGGTCACTTTTTCATAAATCTCTTTTCACTTACGTATATTCTATTTAGTCCACATTATTTTCTTATATTTCAATAAGTCTTATGGTTGACATAATTATCAAAATACCTTTAATAATATTTATATTTGTAGTGTGAATATTTCATGATGTGAATGTTAACACCATCAATGTGAATGTTAACATGTTAATGTGAATATTCATATTATCAATGTAAATGTTCACACTATCAATGTGAAGATTCACACGTCAATGTGAATATTCACATTGTAAAATATGAATGTTTATATCACCAAATTACTAACCGTTCAAAAAATATTTGTAAGGGCAGAAATATTCATAAAATACCTTAAATATAATAATTTTGATTGGTAGATCAAATGTTCAAAAAATAGGACTTATTAAAATATAAGAATATCTTATACATTAATTGGGATACAAACACTTAAAAAAGATTTTTTAATAAACCTTCTTTAAAAAATTACTCATCTAATATATTTTGTGATTTTTTTCTTTTTTAAAATCAAATATAAGCAATGTCATCGAATACGAGACTATGCTGATCAAACATAAAATATTATGAGACTAGCTAAAAAAATTCTTTAGCAGGAGGGAAGTTACACCAACTAAAAACATGACTATCCGTTAGATTTTTTTAAGCCAAACTCAAGTAGTTTAGTAATTTTATATAATTTTAACTTATTAAATAAAGCTAAA